AATGACTCATTAATCTCTAATGATATTTTCTCTATTTTGGCAAATTTAGACTTACACGAGAGAATTATCAGTGAAGAACCTGGTTCATCAAGATAACATGGTATGTTTTCTACACTCTGCATAATTTGAAATAACTATATTTGGATCATGGGCAGAGTCCTACCAAATACCAAAGTTCTTTTGAACTTATCCGTTACAAGTGAACCAGTTACGTTCAAAACTTCTGACCGTATTAAACTAGCTAGATTCTTTTAGGTCTGCTGCTCAAGGGGAAGAAAGTGGTTCTTCCGAAACTGAACATGTATCTTTTGATTCTAAAGTTTCTCCTGAGACAATTTCTAAAGTTGCTGCAAATATGAAAAATAGATTTGTAGGATCTATAGCAGGTGGTGAGACAACAGAATCTGGAGAAGTTGGTGGTAAAAAGAAAAAAAAAAGAGCAAGGGTGGTAGGAGTAATGTGAGGGGAAAGGGGACAAAAGTGACTGATTCTTCACCCACTCATGTGAGTTTAACCAAAGATGCAGGTGCAATGGTTGTTTGGGGAGATGAACCTGGTTCATCTGTAGAGGAAACCCTCGCAGACCCGCAGAAGACAGTGACTGAAAGCTATAATCCTGTCGCACCTCCTTTTTACATACCCGAGAGGGTACAAGGGGAGTTTTCTCCAATTAAAGGACAGTCGAAACGGGATTTGTTTGTTTGTTTCAGAGTCGCCACCTGGGAATTTTAAGGCGTCCCAAGTCACCGGTTTTAATCCCTGAATCGAGGAGAATATGACTCTGTCTATTTAACAGTCTGCGCACCAGAAATCCGGATAAGGAATTCTGTTAACCCGGGAGAAGGTGTTAGGCATTCCCGAGTTCCGTGGTTCTAGCACGGTCGCTCAACTGTTATATTCGGCTTGATTATTTTGATTTGTTAAATACATTTTTATTGCATGATTTTATTGTTACCGCTTCTATTTAGATTTAAAGACCCTTCTTTGAATCGAATCACGCGTACGTATATTCGTGTTATAAATTATATTTTTTNTAATAATTAAGCATAAAATTGTATATTTGGACATAAAATGCTAAAAATGCAAACGATGCCTATTTTTGTAATTTTTAAATTTTTGTAAAACAAATTTAATTACTAACAATTGTAGAATCAAATCCTACATGCAAAATGCAACATATTTTTTGTATTTTTTATTAATTTAGCAAATAAGCAAACACAGAAAAATAATTATCCAAAAATATCACAAAAATACTCAAAATTGCACACCAAGGAAAAATCATTTGATTTTGAATTTTTTGGGAGTAATTCTCATATAGGGCAAAAATCACGTGCTTACAATCCAGTTTCTTGATAGAGTTATCAATGACACCAAAACTCATACCATTCCCTATGGCTTCATTCTCACAACTGTGCGTGCATATTTCAATGTACCTATGAAAAAGTGAGAGGTTAGTACAAGCATGGATCATTTTTGGGTTAATACTATGCTTGCTTGTGATTATGAAGTCAATGTCACTCCTAAAGAACCTAGTTCATCCTAAAGGTACCAGTGAATAGCAACGTCAGAGTCTTGGTACAAGAAAGTGGGGCTAAGGATGCTGAGATTGAAAGACTGAAAAAGAGGTTGGTTGAGGTGGAAACTGAGAGAGATGCTCTCAAAACTGAGCCGGGCAAGAGAAAAAGAGAAGTATGATAGCATTCTTCAAGATATGCTGAAAATCCTCCAAGTAAAAAACCAAGCACCTAGTTCTTCCCAGCCTTAAGCCTCCTAGCCTAGTGTAGATCAACCAGTGACCCAATTCGGGATTTTTTGTTGTTTTTGCTCATGTTTCCAGTATTTTTATTTCTTCTTATGCTCTGTGGTAGAATCTTATCAATCATCAATGAAATTCATTGTATTTTGCTTTAACTACTTGTTTATATTTCTTTAATGGTTAAAATTCTTCAATTGATGTATGATGATTAATCCATGATTGTATTTGAAGTAGCCCTAGTGACCATGAGTAAGTTTTAAAATCTGGTTATCTCATATTTTATGTAACTTTTCGATGATGCCAAAAGGGAGAAAAAGGTTTTGCTTTATACTTTGAATAGTGATGTTTATAACCTAATGTACCTGGTCCTTGATGATAAGTGATAAAAAGGAAAAATATTTCTAACATTGTATTGATGTTGAGCTAGGTTGAAACAGGGCCTAAGCTTATGAAAAGCACAGAGTTTGTCAACATTGTATTGATGTTGAGCTAAGTTGAAACAGGGCCTAAGCTTATGAAAAGCACAGAGTTTGTCATTATCAAAAAGGGGGAATTTGTTGGCCTAAGTGAAGGTTAGTTTTGAAGATTGACAAAGGAAGCTCAGGCATGAACCAGGTCCATCCCTCAGGTGCACAAAAACGGGCAGATTCGAGCATGTGGGATGCACGTGAAGGAGATAGGCTTAACTTGGTATATTTAATATCTCCTGATCGAAAAGGTTGAATAATTGATAAGGAGAAGGACTCCTTACTCAAAGAGAACATTATCCGAGATAGGGAAGGAGTTAGAAGTTGAGATCAACTAGAACTCTTCCACCAAGGAAGAGTTGTATCAGAACTCTAGTTATTTCTTCATTTATTAACTCTATAAATTGCAGGGTGTTCTCACATTACACGTGTTGCACAAAAATGCAAAAGTTAAACGTGAATTGAGAGCAAAATAGCAAGGCTTTTTTCAAGCCATTCGTGTGTGATTTAAGTGTGCAAACCTGAAGCTACATGTACCAGATTGAAGAACCAGCTCCATAAAGAGTTTTATGTGTCTTTCTTTATTTTTAGTTCAATTGTAGTAGGTGTTCTATATTGTACCTTTCAGTTTTATTTAGAAGCAATTGTAATAGGTACTTTGAGTATTCAAGTTAGAGTTAACTTGAAATTGTCGCAACAATTAGAGGTTGGTTGCTACAACGGGATTAGAGGTAATCCTTAGGTTTACAAAGAGATTTGTAAATACTGTTAGGCTCAGTGATTTATTGAAGTGTTGGGAGAAATCCTACTGAGTAGTAGGTCGTGGTTTTTTCACCTTTTGAGCCGGGTGTTTTCCACGTAAAAATACACGTGTTCTTTACTTTCTACATTTATTATTCCGCAACAGTAGTAGAAGGAACACATAGAAGAACCATGCCCTTCCATAATCAGTTTTAGCAAAAAATTGATCACCACACAAATCACCCATCTTGTATGACATTGAAGTCTAAAACATCAAGGTCCTTTGCAATATTTATGACACTTAGAGACAAAACGTGCTTATATATACATAGTCATACAGTATATTCATCAATCAATATATTCTAGGTGATCTGTCATACCAGATGGGCTTATCAAACTGCAATATTTAATTGTTTGTCAAATAATTATGCAGTAAAAACAAAACAAGAAATATGCATTGATAAGAGCTTCGTTTGAAACCAAAATTATCATTTCATCAAGAAAACGAAGGCCAAAATTAATGGAAAATTGAACTGGAAAACTTTAAAAGTACTCACCAAGACCAATGGCCTCCGTCCGACCATAGTTCTAATTGAGGTTGAATTTTGTCATTCAACAAAATTAATAGCTTGTATTCAAAAAAGCTCCTAATTTTGTTATATACATTACTTTTTCACATCCAATTATTTTTCTTCACGACTTCTATATTGAGAATATTAATTGTAATATCCACTAGTTTACTTGGCGAACACAGGTTGACAAATATTAGAGATGGAACACTAAGAAGATCATTTAATAAATAATATGCAATAATTAATAAATAAAAGATAAATACCAAATTTTGGATGTGAAAAATGGATTCGAAGCAGGCCTATGACTTACTATTATAGTGGGTAATTTAATTACTTACTTTGATGTGATAAATTAATTTATAATTTTCTATGATATGGTGAATAGAATTAAGTGATCATATGTTAAATTAACCATTTTATCCTCTCTCCCCTTGCTTTGCTCATGGAATGTGATATCTTGATATATATAGTTATAGATAGATAGATGGCAAGGAAGTATAAATTGTTTTACATATATGTTCTGGAAAAAAGTTTTTTCCTTTATTTTATCACACATTGCTCACGTCTTTTCCATCATTTTTTCTTTCTTTTGTATTTCCACCCTAAACAAACAAAAGTCGAATTATAAGTAATAGAAAGAGTGTATTCAATTAGAGAGAACAAATTAATAAAACAACTTACTGCGAATTGACAACAATTGGACAGGAACAACAATATTCGATAAACATAATTAGCTCAAAAGAGAATGCTTGAAATATACATGAGTTTTACTTATTTCTGAAATTTACATAAAGTTCGAAAATGCAAAAATGGATAAAGAGAACTAGAGAAGTAGTGTGGGTTAATATCATCCTCGTCATCAATTATTGTATCGTAGGAGACTTTCATGGACGGATGCACCCACATCAACATCTTCGACAGCTCATGTTGTCACTTCGTATATTTCCTATCTATCTCTTCAACTATACACTTAATTAGAATATATACTCATCACGTCGATTTTGAGAATAAAGTCACTTAAGAGTGTGGTGAAATAGACCGGAATCTTTCACGGCAGAAAACCTACTCCTCAAGATATTTTTGTAGATGGGCCTTTGAATTATAGCAGGAGCAACCTTAAGTGTTTTTTCCCCTTATTATCTAATATGCAATGCGTATCTGAATTAGTCGATGCGAATTTATAATTTCGAATTCCGAATGGTTCAACCGGACACAATAAAAAAAATTGGAATAGAGGGAAAAAGGAATGTATTACTCTCAAAATTGAATAACAATTGAATTTATACGCGGTTTTAAGGATATGTGATATAACTTGATACAAATTAAGAAAACAAATTAATATTGAAATTAATGATAAGAAAATGAATGCAAACCACACAAATTGAACAACCTTCGCCTTTGAGTTTGATCACCCTCAAACCAAGAAATACCTCATGCTGATGTTAGAACAGAATAACAAGATGATGAGAACTAAAAATAACAGTGTATTGCTTTTTGGCGTGTATTATAATATGTTTTACAAATGATCAAACCCCCCTTTATATAGTAGGGGTGTCCTACTATAGATACAATTCTATACAAGGTAAAAAATTTCATGATTTGCTAATTAATCGGCTTCTTTTTGATACGTGCCGAGATTTTCAACCGATCGCGGATATTTCGGCCTTCCATTATTTGGCTCGGCAAATTTCCTTCAGTCTTGTTCGGTCTCGATCTTGTTCGGTTCTGGGGTCACGAGCTCGACGATCTAATTTCGCACCTTGGTTTGATATAACCCGTGCTTGAGCTTTGACATGTCATATTTCAGCCTCGATTGGTCACACAGTAGGCGAACCCAGCATACAGAATGAATTATGAGAATGTAAATATGGGTCGATTCTTGGAATATGACAAGGGGTTGCGTCGCTGATGGTACTCCTCCAATAACGCCGAAGTCTCACTGAACCGACCACCGTCTCCACATCGGCGAAAAGATAGTAACATTTTCTTAGTACACGTCTCAATTTCTTTAATTTCATCCAAATAAATCTGCCTGTGCCTACACTCCAAACTGCAGAAACCCATTTCACCCCTGCATTAATTAATATAAGCACTGTTAATTAATATGCAAAATGGAGAAAACAATAAAATTAAGTTAGTTGATTTTCTTTCTAAGTATATAACTAAAGTACGTACTTATACATGTAAACTTGTTTGTCAAGCCTCAGAGTCTTGTTGCAAAGGAAACAATATTTAAGGAAGCAAGAATTCTGTTCATTGCTGCTAGATTCAGTATGATTTGTGTGGAAGATGGGTTTGACTCTAGTGAATCTTGAAACATTATTAGGGTTTGCCTTGGCCTGAAAAAGCTTCTGATTAATCAAGATCTTCAGGCCAACTATAGCAACTGATTTCTTGTTCTCAATCCCATGGCAGTCAAGACCCATATTTTTGCGAATAAAATCTAGAGAAGAAATAAGGAAAATGATGAATAAGTAAGCAGAAGGGTGTTTGAAGTGAGGGTATTCAAGGTGGATGGATAAAGGGTATATATTGGGGAAAAAATGTGGGGACAATTGGGTTGGCAAAAAGTAAAACAAGACAACTTATTTTATGATATTATAGAACGTGCTTTAATGAAACGGTCACGTTGCTGTAAATTTAAATCTACCGTGTAAAACTAAAAATACTTCTTACTTAACTTTTTTCAGTGGGTCATAAGTTGAAGAAATGCTTTGGGTCCCTTTGTTTAAGAGTGTCAAAACGTGGAAATTGTGCTTATAACTGGAGAGAAAAAATATACTCGAGTAACCCAAGCGTGGTTATGGAAACGTAAATTTGCCTAGTATATTTTAGTGTCCTTTGTACGCCTGTTTTAAACTGGTCTTATAAACATTAATTAAGCAAAAATAATGATTCCTCAGCTAGAGATAAGTTAATAATTTGCACTTGTCGCTTGATGTAATGTGGGGAATATGATTCCTAGTCGGAGAACTAGTTTCCTCATCCCAAAAAAATATAGTACTCCTCCGCTCGTTTTTACTTGTCTATTAAAGTATTGACTTTGCACACCATGATAAAGTGTATAATTTATCATGATATCCATATTAATTGGTGTATAGTTTTAATGGATTTGAAATGAGTAGTTAATGCTAAGGGTAAAACAGAAAAAATAATTATTTTTCACTTGATATGCGAAGAGTGATAAGTAAAAATAAAAATTTATTTTTAAAATATTTGACAACTAAAATTGAACGGAGAAAAACTAAATTTATTCCATAATAGGTGATGCGTGAGGAATAGAGGGTTAAAATGTGAGAAAAACAGTCCTTAAAGCTTTGAAGAACTCTCATACGCATGCTTACTCGTTTGTGCAAAAAACATTGTAGTACTTTACTATAAGGAGTGTGAGCTTTAGTATATAAAATTATGGAAAAATTACGCTACACGTCAAACATATACATTGTATTTATAATTTGTACTATACTTTTAGTAACTTTATCATGCATAGCTAAATTTAAATTTTATAGCAAATCCATGAAACAAGAGATTAATTATTTTGAACTGAAAAAAAAGAGCAATAAGCTTTTGTAGCTTAGTTGGTTAGGGCGTCCAGTTAGTTAGCGTTATAAATACATGTGATAAAAGGTGATAACAATTGAACAATAACTACGAACGATAATTTGGTAAACTATAATTCTAGGCTCTAAATTGTAGTATTTTATGAAAATTCCTTTTCAAAGACTACAATCTATTTTTAACTCTTCAAATGTTGCAATCGAAAATATTTGTTATTCCTTTTAGAGTTTATTTGCTTTCATTAACAACTTCGGTCCTCTTTTCTCGTTATAATTACGTTTACTCTTTCACAGATCTCTATAAAATTTTATTTTGCTTACTTGTAGGGTAAAAAATATATGCCTCCTGCTACACCTTTTTTAACAGCAGTTATGGGTCTAATTTGTCACTGTATTATCATAAATAGGCCACATTTACCCGTGTAAGTTTTATATTAAAAATATCTCCATCAATACACATTAGGTGTATATTTATTCCTTACATGTTAAAAATACCCTCCCAACTTCTAAAATCCACGTGGCATTCCGTTATTGGACCAACTGAAGCGCCTCGTTTTTTTAATTCAAATCCACCCGATCCAACCTCTTAAACTACACCCATCGGTTAAAATACTCATTTTTCATCTGATATCTCCATCTCTTTCTATCTCTAACATAAAGAGACCAAAATCTTGATTTTACTGAGAGAATTGTGGTTGGATTTTACAGGATTTATGATTCAACTATGTTTAAAGGTGATTGCTTTCTTCAAGTATTTGTTTATTTAAACTCTAATATGTAATTTTGTTGCTTAAATTTGCACTGATTTTGGTCGTTTTTAGGGCTTCTTCCTTTAATACTATTATGGTTTTGAGTATGAGATTAAATCTTTAAAGTTCACCATTGGGCATGTTGTTTATGAGTAACTGATTTTGTTTACATGTGTTGTTTAGGTGGTTTTCTGTTTGGGTTTTTATCGAGATAAATCTTTTTCTAGACTTTTGTGTAGTTTGTGGTCCATATGGTTTTGTCTTTTTATTTAATTTAATAAAAAAATTATTGGCAGAACTGAGATTGTGGGGTCTTAACATTGAAATTTAAGTTTTTTTTTGTTGTATGATTGCTGCCCCAACTGAATATTTTAAAGCCAGAGGGACTTTACTTTCTTGAGGTATGTGGTCCTGTTGTTACGTATTTTTTTGTATTTCTGATTTCCCATATTTAGCTTTCCTTTATGGTCCATTAATTTATTGTTTGATATTATTTTCTTTATTGTTTTAATAGTCACGTTAACTGTTTTTCTATATTGTTTTATTTTATACTAGCTATTTTTTTATTGGTTTAAGAGTTATCGTAAATAATTGTCTTAATTTGTTAATTTGTTGTCTAGTAGCAGTTTTGTTGCCATATCCTTTAGTTTTTATTGACCATCTTAATTTTTTCTTACTTTTTAGGATATTAAAGATGATTTTGGTGGATATAATATTCTATCATGGTGGGATTTGGATCAGAAAATCATATGTATTATATTCAAAGATGCTTATCCACTCTTAGAGATGTTATGACTCTGACCTTCTTTTCTTCATTAATTTAGTAAATGAGTACATTAGGGAGTTGAAGTATCTAGGTATTCAATAACTAATTGTAAATAGACCTTTTGGTAACTATTATAAGGTAGTGGATGATGCTGGGATAAGGCATTTATCGCATTTAATATCTGATGAATTTAAGTTTCTTAACTTCTATGCAGTAGATAAAAGTGGTTTGTTTGTGGATATTTCTAATATTGTCCATTATTCTGATTCATATCCATCACTAACTGAAATTGGTACAGATTATAGTGAGGTTGAGAGTGACAATGAGACTGATGAGGCAAGATATGATTATGAGGAATTACAATCAATTGCATGTCAAAAGAATAGAGAAATTGAGAATAAGGGTAGAAAATGTCAAGGATATACCTGAAGCTAGAAAATGTATTAACGTCTATGCCATGACAAACAAAAAGGATTTACAGGAAGAAAAAAGTGATAAAAAATAATTAAGGTAAAAATGTGTTCATGGCTACCTTTTTGTTATTCTCATTGAGGGAAAAAAATCTTTCAGGGGTTAGGATAAAGACATTAAAATCAAAACACAATTGTGATGAAGCATTTGATAATAATAGGGTTGATTATCATACAATTGCTCATTACTTCAAAAAAAAAGTTACAGGGTAATCCTAAATATAAGATTAAAGAGATGAGAGCAAATATGAAAATATTGTTTAATGCAAATGTTAATTACAAAAATTGTAAGAGAGCGAAAAGACTGATTTTAGAGAAACTAGAAGGTAGTTTTACAGATGGTTACAATAAAATTGAGCCATATGCCAATGAACTAATTGATAGTAATTCAGGGAGTGATGTGGTCATTAATTTGTCAAAAGATGTACTTGCTCAATGTATTAGAAGATTCTTGAGAATGTATATTTGTTTTCATGCTCTTACAATGGGTTTTAAGGAAGGGTTGAGACCTTTTATTGGTTTGGATGGCAAGCTATAAACCCGTATTTTAGTCGTAGTTTGAACTCCACATACTATATTTTACTTGTGTTTGAGCTTAAATATTAGTTTATTATACTTTTATGTGCTTTATGCCTTGCAGGAAGAGAATCCGAGCTATTAAGATAATTTGTAGCTAATTTGAATAAGTTGTAGCGTTGACGTCCGAGTAAAAGCTCAAGAAATTAAGTCGGGATCATGTTCGGAGGTCAAAGACCAAGTCTGGATATAAAAAAGGGAGAAAAAAAGATTAGTCTGAGAAAATTGCACTACCACGCCGCAGGGCTCAGAACGCTAGTGCAAAATTCTTGCAAAGTTAAAAAAATCAGCTCTCTGAAGATCCTCTCTACTGTGGCACATGGGGCACCGCACCAGTGTATTTTTGCGGTCCAATTTGTCCCACTTTGGCTTGGAAAGGGTAGTTTCGCCCGAACCCATTCCTACATGGTATAAATACATCAAAAATACGATTTTAGAGGACTTTTGACCTTGGAAGCTTTGGGAGAGCATTGGAGAATACAAGACACAAGATTTCATATTCTTCCCATCAATCCAATATGGGAGTTTGGATTATAATGTTAGATTGATGCTTTTTTACTCTCTAATTATATTTATGATGACTTCATCCATGATTATGGAGTAGTTTTTCTTAAGTTTTGACGAATATGGTGTTTTGATAAATATTCGTAGATTTTAACTCTAGTTCTTTGCTTGAATTCATTTATGGAGTTTTGAATTGTTGCAACTTTATTCACCAGTTTATTTAATCGAAAGAGGAATATTTTGGTGATTATCTTTGCATTATTTTGTTTGATTTAATTTAGTGATTCTCTTACGTAATCGAAAGAGCTTGTTGAATTGTTGATTTAATTATGTTAGGAGAATATTCGAGAGACGTTTTCATAAAGACTAATCTATTAATACATGCTTGCATATTTTCACAGTGCTTATATTAGTGCACCTCGTAGAGTTAAGACTTAATCGAGAGTGGAGTTTTGACTATACATTTGAACTAATTGTTGAATGAATTCCTGAGAATCATTAGAACATTAGAATGAATTAAACTAGAATTAAATCTCAAATAGTTATCTTGAATCTATCCTGTCATTACCCTTATTTCTCACATCGATAAGAAACCAACTCTTGTAATCTCTAGTTCTTTGAAGTCAATTGTCAATTGCTTTACTTTAGTAGTCAATCGTAGTTCGTAATCATTCTAATCAAGTTTTGATCATCCTAAATAGCAGTTAAACCAGGAATTAGTAGAGCATTGTTTAAATATAATCCATGTGGAGATGATAATCATACTATATCATCTTTGGCGAGCGAGCATCATTTTTGTGTTGTGTTTTACGCCCGTTAACTTCTCAAACGTGTTTAATAGCTGCCCAATAAGGAAAAAGGACAAATGAAAAT